TGTCTGTCTGTCTGTCTGTCTGTCTGTCTGTCTGTCTATCTATCTATCTATCTATCGTTCTGTCTGTCTGTCTGCCTGTCTGTCTGTCTGTCTATCAACTTTTAATGACATTTTGCTTTTTTCATACATTATTACAGTTTTTCTCAATTGCTTTGGCACATTTTTCGAAAAGCTTAACACAGCCAACATGAAATATTAATTCTCATTTTTGCTTGAAAAAGAGGTTTCATGCCTCTGTCGTCTAGAATTACAATAAATATTCCAGCACCAATTAGGAGGAAGCAGCGAACGTCTGCGGAAAAGCCAAGAGCATTATGATGAGCCGGCATTGATTCGGTCGTATTGACTCAGCGAATATCTAACACTTCACTGAGTTATGCAAATACATCATTAAGTGCTTGTTAAGAGTGCAAACTAGCTAATCATACAATACAGTAGTCTTTGTACTATTTGCATGGATGGGTGCATCGGTTATTTATTTATCTATTTATTTGTTTGTCCATCCACCATTTATTCATCACATCCCTTTGTTATAATTTTTTATTTCTAATTTTATTTTTGATTTCATTGTTTAAGTTCAAACAAACTAATCATTACATACAATAGTCTTTGTAGTTTTTGCATGGATGGGTGCATAGGTTGGTTATTTATTTATTTGTTTTGCTTTTTGTTTATTATTTTGTTTTTATTTCATACATTTATTAATATATTTTTAATTATGTATGTATTTTTAATTTTTGCTGCAAAAGCTTCACATATCCTAAGCATTTGTTTGTTTGTTTGTTTTTTGCTTTTTATTTATTTCAGGTCAAAATTCAAACAAGCTAATGATGAAATATTGTACAGTAGTCTTTTTAGTGTACTTAGGCTATTTGTTTACTGATTCACGTGTTTGTGTGTGTATTTAATTATTCATTCATTTATTTATTCATTTTAAATGTAATTTCTTTATTAGTTTTAATTTTTAATGATGAGTATTTTGTTTATTATTACATTAATAATATATTTATATTTTTAATTGTTTTCTTTTATAATTTTTATACGAAAGCTTTACATTACCAAAGCAAGCAAGCATTTATTTGTTTGTTTGTTTTCATTTTTAATGATAATGACAATTTTGTATTTATTACATGAATAATATATTTATATTTTAATTCTAGGTGTATTTTAAATTTTAGATACAAAAAGCTTTACATTTCCAAAGCATTTATTTATTTAGTTATTTTTATTTCATACATAATTAATATATTTTTAACTGTCGATTAAGTTTTCAAATACTTTTTCATTTTTAATGATAACGAGTATTTTGTTTTTATTACATGAATAATATATTTATATGTTTTAATCTGGGTGTATTTTTATTAGTGCTGTCAAACGATTAATCGCGATTAATCGCATCCAAAATAAAAGTTTATGTTTACATAATATATGTATATGTACTGTGTTTATTTATTATGTATATATAAATACACACACATACAGTATATATTTTGAAAATGTTTACATGTATTTACATGTAGTGTGGTAAAAAAAGGGTACGAAATGTGCTATATAAATAAACTTGCCTTGTCTTGCCTTACCAGTACAATATCTCACGGTTCTCAACCAATCAGATTTGAGAACCAGAACAAACTGTTGTATAAATATAAACATACAGTATATATTTTGAAAATATTTACATGTATATGCATTTATATATTTATATTATTATATTTAATATAATATATTTAATATATAAACATTTTTCTTAAATATATAAATGAATGTGTTTTTATTTATGAATATACATATACATAATATATACATAATAAATATACACAGTACACACATATATTATGTAAACAAAAACTTTTATTTTGGATGCGATTAATCGCGATTAATCGTTTGACAGCACTAATCTTTCATTTTAGATACAAAAGCTTTATATTATCAAAGCATTTATTTATTCATTCATTTATTTATTTATTTGTAAATGTAATTTATTTGTTTGTTTTCATTTTAATGATAATGAGTATTTATGTTTTTAGTTACATTAATAATATATTTATATTTTAAATCCTGTGTATTTTTAATTTTAGATACAAAAAGCTTTACATTTCCAAAGCATTTATTTATTTAGTTATTTTTATTTCATACATATTTTTAACTGTGGATTAAGTGCTCAAATGTTTTGCTGGGGCCACTGTATTGTTGTGTTTTGTCGTCCAGACACGCGTTATCCTCCTGAACTGGTGCGCCTGGTTCCTGCGCATGCGGCGACCCGGCGAGGAGCGGATCCATCTGGCCTGCCACAACAAACCCCCTCGGCGCGGGAGCGTGTCCAGCGTGGAGCTCTCTGTCAGCCAGGGGGCGCTGCAGCCCAGCAACATGCTGTACATCGGCTTCAGAGGCATGGAGGGAGTCCACTACGCATCTTCCCATGATTCGCACGGCGTCCTCTGCGGACGAATCATGGCCTCTGCCGAGGAAGACGTGCTGTTGCCGGGGGCGACCATGCCCTCACTCGGGGGTGGGGCCGGAATCAGGGGGCGGGTCAACGGTGGCATTGTGGGCGGGGCTTTGGAACTGGAACTGGCTAAAATTCTGGAGGAGGTGCGATACATTGCTAAAAGGTTTCGCAACCAGGATGAGGACGAGAACGTGTGTAATGAGTGGAAGTTCGCGGCGGCGGTAATCGATCGCTTGTGTTTAATGGCGTTCTCCATTTTCACTATCCTCTGCACCATCGGGATCCTGATGTCGGCACCAAATTTCGTAGAAGCCATCTCGAAAGATTTCTTCACCTGATGCTTGACGGACTTTGCTGTTTTATGTTTTTTTGTACATCGCTCAGCAGCGCCTGTTATGGGTGCGCTAATAAAACGTGCTAACTAGGGCTGAGCGATATATCGAAAGCAAGCAACATGATTTTATGCACTTTTTATTCATTTTAATTTTCCTCGTCTCGTTTTTTGCTAGAGCATTTAAAGATGTTTTACTGCACTGAAAAAAAAGTATTTTCTTTGAAATAGGAATGCAAAAAATTTATCGCGATTAATCACATTCAAAATAAAAGTTTGTTTACATATTATATGTGTGCGTACTGTTTATATTTAGTATATATTTAAAAATACACACATACATGTAAATATTAAGGAAAAATATGTTAGATTTATATATGAAATATTTATATTTATATATAATATAAATTATAGTATTATATATATATATATATATATATATATATACACACACAAATATTTTTTTAATATATACATATATGTGTGTATTTATATATACATGATAAATATACATAGTACACACACAACATTATGTAAACATTAATCGCGATTTATCGTTTTGCAGCCCTACTTTGAAACAATTTTCACACAGAAATTGTCATTAAATTTCACAAATAGTTACAAAGAAATGGCAAGTAAGACTTCGAATCAAACGTGAAAGTTAACAAAAAAACTGAAAATGTAGGCTACTGCAATTATTTATTTTTTTTTACAGTTTCTAAAAATTTATTTTTACAGTGTAGCATTTCTGATTTAAACAATTGCCATTACTGTTAGTAGGTTTGATTTATTTATTTGAATGAGTTTGAATCATTTGAACTGATTCATTGGTTTGTTTCGTTACTTCAAATGTTTTACCGAAGTTCCCATGTGGCATTTTACACTTTTAGTAAAACATTTTATTATAGGGAAATATTGCGGTTTAATATTTATTATATAGTACATTTCAGGTTTGTTATCGTTAACTAAAATTAAAACTATTATAAACAGTTTTGTTAATTGAAATAAAAGTGAGATCAAATAAATTAAAAATTCATACTTAACAAAAATTACAAATTTGCCTTGGCAACTAAAATATAATAAATTAAATATAACTAGTAATATTTGAAAAAATAATAATAATAAAAGTGTCAAAACGCATATAACACTAACTAAAGATGAGATAAAAATTAAACAAATTAAAATAAAAATTTAAATCAAAGGATAAAAAATAAAATAAATATAAATAT